AACCCTAACCCTAAATTTTATTAAAAGAAATTATACATAGGTGCTAAAACACCATAGGTGCGTTTTATAATAATTCATTTACAAAGTTGGTAGTAAGTTTAAAATGTTTTTATAAGAAGGGTGGTGGTAGAAAGTATTGAAAGTTTAGTTATATTGAATACTTTTGTGTACTATATATTTTTTGCAAGAAAATCTGCATTGTAGTGAAGTGTATTTGTAAAATATGAATTGGCTTTGTGTAAAACACACATCTTTTAAAAACCCTTGTTTAATAAAGACAAAAATTAGATTTATTGAATTCAGATTTACTAGATTCAGATAGATTATATATAGTTAGTTTTTATAATAAAAGAGCAAATTTTAACGAGGTTTATTATTTTAAATCGAGGATCTCATTTTCAGCTTTAGCCGTAACATTAATTTTAAAATATAACAATTACGTTCAACACCTATAAAATACTTTAGTAAAGTTTGTAACAATATTACATAACATTAAATTAACAACTAAAATATTTATTAAAATTGTTTAAATGTTTAAATTCTTAAATTATTAAACTTAAAAATATATATACTTAAAAAGTAAATTAAAAATTTTTATCGGTAAAATTCTAATCATATGCAATATTTTAATAATAAATTCGATTCAAATCAAAAATATATATATTAAATAATCTATTATATAAAACTTTTACTAAACCTGTTAATTAAAAAACGAATTATATAATAAACCATTTAAAAATTATTATAAATTGGTAAATTTCTAGAATGTCCTGTTTATAGACATAATGATTCTAATAGCGTGTGGGCATTTTGACAAAATTATAATTGTTCTTTTCACCGCGTCGCACCTGATAGCCTCATAATAAAGTTTCGCCTATAATATGAAATATGATTTTTTTTTTTTAACACCACCAAACACGATAATCGCAGATAAAAATCAGAAACTAAGAATAGAATAATTACCAAGACAGCAGCGAACCAATGAGCAACCGACCGTCACGGTTTCAAACACACTTACTTCATCTTCGAGGGTCGGATTTACTTCCTGTAAAATAAAAAATAAGCATCAAATATTAAAATAAACACCGAAATCATAAATTACGTACCATGATGTCAACAGAGACAAGAAGACCAGTTTCATTAATTGTTTCACAAATGTAATGACCTTCTCTAAAGGTCAATCCACCACGCACAGGAGTACCTATAATCAAAGGAATTAAAAGAATGAGTAATCAATCCGAGTTACATCGTTAATTCATATAAGAGTATTAGATGTTACGCGTAAATTACCAGTACTCGGGGCAACCGTCGGATCTAGCGCATCAACATCAAAACTAAGATGGATAGGACGATCTCTGTCAGGGTTCACTGCATCAAGGGCCATCTCCACAACCTTGCCAATACCGTACTTATCTACATGGGTCATAGAAAAAGCCTTGATCCCATATTTCTTTAAAATCTCCTTTTCTGGTGGATCAACATCTCGTAATCCAATATATACAATACTATCGGGTCTGAGTCGAGGCGTCAACCATGAAAATTCAGTTATTTCCTTACTTATCAGCCCGTCAACTGCTAGCAGGAAGGATACAGGGCAACCGTGTAAATTGCCAGAATCGGTAGTTTCGGGAGTGTTGATATCCTATTCAAACAAAAGAAGGCAAAAATTAACGTAAAATAATCAATAATAATATATAATATAATATTAAAACAAAGACACATTCATACCGCATGGGCATCGATCCAGATAAGGCAAGCATCAGGATAAGCGGCTAAGGTACCAGAAACCGTACCGAGCGCAAGGCTATGATCACCTCCAAGAGTAAGTGCTAAATGACCTTTTTTAAGATGTGATTCTACGGATTCAGAAACTGCCTTAGTTACTCTCGAAACATATCGAGGCCTTTTGATTTTCCCTATATTAGGATCATCAGCTGGTTTAAGACTGGTGAATTTGTGGTGGCCATCAAATTCTACGGTCCATCCCATTTCCTCAAGTTGTTCTATCAAGCCAAATTCGATCATTTTAATCGGACCTTCGTCCACACCTTCCTTGGGCTTTTTGAGCAACGAAATGACAATTATTAATGGAGAATAAAACTTTTGTTTGAATAGTTAAACTTTTGAAACGAATAACTCACTTGACCGCCGCTAAAGGGGCAACCAATAATTCCGACTTTTTTATCCTTGATATACTTGGGAGTTGTCATCACGAAAAGAACAATTGAATAAAGTTTCGCATGGTATCAATTTTTTTTTTTTAATATATATATATAAAAATCGGAAGAGGTCATCTGAACGTCTAAACGTGAAACACTACTATGCATAGTAACAGGAGGAAACGTTGATACGTCACAAAATCGTTACACAATTGATAAAAAATTTTTTTATATTATTTTACAATAC